AAGGCTAAGAGTCTCAGTAGTGATCGCTCTGCATGACCTCTGCATTTCTAGGTGATCCTATTTGGCTCCTCTCTTTGAAACCCTAGAGTGTCCGGCCCCACCTAGCACTGAACTGACCTTAATCACACTTACAACACACACCATGTGGCACTGCCTTGAACATCCACTTCTGTATTGCTACCTGAAGGCACCTCCTGTAGGTCGGAGACAATGCTCTTGGCTGGCAAAACTGTTCATTTTTCCATCTGGAGCCAATTTTCAAAAAGAAAAGGCATTCTACTAGCAAAATATCTTGAGGTTTCCCATTGACACAGGGTGCTCCTTGAATAAAAAGTACCTGATATACATAAAGTTGCAACCGAAAGGCAGCTTGAGTGCAAAAGCTGAACAATAATGCAGAAGCAGTGTCTGAAAAAAGTGTCCAAAGATGAACCCTGAAGATGCTGACTACCAAGCCCAGGAAACAGCACAGAGAATAAGCACTGAGTGCAAGCTGCCTGAATGAAATCAATAACACCCCTGGGTCCATAGAACTGTAAGCAACAGCAATTGGTTGCTGGCCCTTTTAAAATGCTCCTTTAAAAGTCCCAGCATCAATGCCACTCAAATGATACCACAACCTTTTAGTTAAAGGAGGCACATATAACCCATGTTGTGGCCATGCCATTTAGGGATCTATTTAGATGAGATGTCCTACATAAAAATATAAAAATATGCAGGAAGAAACTTGCTAATTCTCTAAAAGAATTTGAAATAAAATCATATTCTGTATCCATTTGGTGACAAAATCATAATGTTTTGGTCATTATGGCACTTTGTTATCTGAAGGGCAAAAAAACTGTTTTAGAGAAATTGCAGAACTCTCTCATTTCTTCACAGTAAAGTTAAAAATAAAGACTATGCTAAAGCCAATGGTATTTTGTTTTCATTCTGAAAGGAGGTTACTCCATACAAAGAAGTTAAAAGAATATACTGTGGTCACAATGGTACTCAAACATCCTAATAAGGAATGGGGCTCATGAGAAGAAACTCTCCATTCTCAGTCTCTTTATGTTCCCCAATTAACCAGACTGTTCCCTAAGCAACTGGAATGTTTGCTTATGGATGCCAAATTTCATTTTGTGCCACTGAATATAATTTAAATCATCCATACTTATATAACATGCCCACCACTACCATCAAGACTATAAGCTCCTGGAGGACAGGAACTATTTCTCATCTACTCTCTATAAACTGCATAGTGGCTCCAATGCCATATTGTCCGCAAAGCCTTCTGTGGTGATGTATGCTCAGCAGAAAGTATTCACCTTTAATACCCTGCTGCATCGAGTACCCGCACTACCCATTTATTTCACAATTTTAGCACATGCTCAGTCCTCTAAATATTTCAAGCCCTTGATAAATTAAAAGCAGCGATTTCTCACAAAACAGCAGGAACCCATGTCCTAAATAATCAAGAACTAAAAACTAGCCCCGAATAGACACATATTATATCAAACTAAATTGCAGTATGGCCATTTTTCTAGTGCAATTATCTATGGCTTTAATATACAATGAATCATTAGGGTCCTGAATTTCTTCTGGCAAATAAGTACAGTGTGAGCTGAATGCTCAACATCGTGAGTGTCATGAGAACAAGTTCTATAGATCTGAATTGACCAAGCTAATCCTCCTGCATTATTGCTATTAGCCAACAATGCACACGTAGTTATTACATATAATTACTGCTCTAACAGACACGGGCATTTGAAATATTAACTTTCCCACAGACTCCAAATCTTCAGTAAGCAGCTCTCAAAAATTCAGTATATTAATCATGTATGTCAGCACACTCCTGTTAAATATGCACGCGCTTAAACACCACTCATGTTACAAATTGTCCAACATAATTTTAATATAATTTATTACTCTTTAGATACTGTAATTATAACGGCACCTAAGTGCCACTATAATAAATGCAAATTCAATCAACTGGTTTGTAAGTAACCACTATTATATAACTAATTCCACTTTAATTCAATTTTTAACAGGCGTTCAAGTGAGAATATTTCATAACACAAAGTATAAAATGTTTATAAACTTACTATGTTTTATGACATAGGAGTGTCTAATTTAAAATTAAATGAATAAAAGGTAAATTGATTTTCTTAGACTTAGACAAATAATTAAAAATTAAAATATATAAAGAAATTAGCATACAATATATTGATATCTATAAGAAAAAGTATACAAAGTATGGTTTGTAGTATAATGATGTCATATTTCTAATAAAATACTTTATATGCTTTATAAATTCCCATTCTACATTTATGAAATTATTATAACAATGACTAGATTTGACCTAAAATAAAGCAAACATAAAACTTGACAGAGAAAAAAAATTTTCAAATGAATGTGAAAAATACATTATTAACCTTGGATCATGTTACTCTAAATTTTATGATTAGTATGGTCACAGATCATTAACTTGAGCACAATAATGGGAATAATCATAATAGCCACAGTTCATTTATACCAAGGGTTTACTTAACTGACTGTGTAAGGTACTGTAATTAGTGCTTTGCTTTCATATCTCATTTAATTTTCACAATAATCCAGTGAAGGATATATTAATATTATACACATTTTACAGATGAGGAAGTGGAGGCTCACACAGATTAAATGACTTGTCCAAGGACACAGGGCTTGGCAGGAGAAGGGTCTGACTACAAGTCTATCCTCCAAAACGCACAGTCAGTACTCAGCTCCCAGAGTGACCTTGGGTAAGTCACCTTAAGTCTCTAAAGCTCATTTCCTGTAGCTGCAAAATGCAAATTATATGAATATACTAGAGGCCCAGTGCACAAAAATTTGTGCACTCGGGGGGTCCCTCAGCCCAGCCTGTGTCCTCTCACAGTCTGGGACCCCTCGGGGGATGTCCACCCGCTGGCTTAGGCCTGCTCCCCGGGGGATCGGGCCTAAGCTGGCAGTCAGACATCCCTCTGGCAGCCTGTGAGCCCTTGGGGGATGTCCACTTGCCAGCGGGGAGCAGGCCTAAGCTGCAGTCGGACATCCTTAGTGCTGCTGAGGAGGCGGGAGAGGCTCCCACCACCACCGCTATGCTGGCAGCCATCAGCCTGGCTTGTGGCTAAGCAGAGCTCCCCCTGTGAGAGCACACTGACCACCAGAGGGCATCTCCTGCATTGAGCGTCTGCCCCCTGGTGGTCAATGTGTGTCATAGTGACCAGTCATTCCCAGTCGTTCTGCTATTAGGGTCAATTTGCAAATTACCCTTTTATTATATAGGATAGAGGCCTGGTGCACGGATGGGGGCCAGCTGGTTTGCCCTGAAGGGTGTCCCGGATCAGGGTGGGGATCCCGCTGGGGTGCCTGGCCAGCCTGGGTGAGTGGCTGATGGCTGTTTGCAGGCTGGTCAAGCCCCCCAGTGGGGAACCCTCACCCCATGGTGGTGTGGCCAGCCTGGGTGAGGGGCTGATGGCCGTTTTCAGGCTGGCCACGCCCGCAGGCTAGAAGCAGGTATCTGGGATTTGCCTGGCCAGCCTGGGTGAGGGGCTGATGGCCGTTTTCAGGCTGGCCCACGCCTGCAGGCTAGAAGCAGGTATCTGGGATTTATTTAACTTCTATAATTGAAACTTTGTAGCCTTGGTCTGGCTCGAAGCCTGGGTTGCCAAGGCCCTCCTTGAGCAGAGGCCACCGCCAGCTGGAATAGGTATCTGGGATTTATTTATCTTCTATTCTATAATTGAAACTCTTTAGCCTTGAGCGGAGCTCAGGGCCGGCCAGGGCAGGTGGGAAGCTTGGCTTCCTCCATCGCTGGGGCAACCCAAGCCTCTGCTCACTCCAGCTCTGTGGCTGCCGCCATCTTTGTGTCAGAGTGAGGGAGTGATGGTTAATTTGCATATTACTCTTTTATTAGATAGGATGCCAGAATTATTGAGAACTAAATAAGATAGTTTATGAGAAGGTTCTGTGCAAATTTAACAGTTATGTTAGCTATGTTATTGTAATGTTATTGATGAGATCAAATGAAATGTTGAAAATGACAAAACTGCTTATTAGCTCTTGGGCAAGATTTTCCAACAAAAATAGTATACCTAGGTGAACTTTCCTGGTTGTTTTACCTTGCTTAATGTAGAAACTATCACATAAAGGCAACTATGAATCAATATTTTATTATACTGAAAAGATAGATAAGCCCCAATAGATTAAGTTAGAAGTGAATAGCAAAACTAAAATGTAACTTTGTAGATAATTATCATGAAAATTGTTCATGCCACAAGATTTGGCCTTTCTTATTGAAGAGCTTTTTGCTTTTCAAAACTAAGGCTTTTTAAAGTTACCTGGAGTCACTCTCAGGGTCTAATTTACTGTGATCCACATACACATTTTGCTTTGTGGCAATATTTAAATCCTTAGAACCAGGAAAGAAAAACAATATTTTAAAATCTTTATCATTCACCATTTTAGATAAGTAATGTATTCTCATCAGGCTTACTTTTTCATAGGGCTTTGTAGCTTAAAAAATTATTTCATATGCATTATGTCAAACCAGATCCTAAAACAAGATCCTAAAACAAGTATTTTAAAATATGAGATCAGGAAACTGAAATTCTCTAAGGTTAATAATAAGAAATCTATATATCTATGTGTGTGTGTGTGAGAGAGAGAGAGAGAGAGCAAGCATACAGATGTCTATCATGAGATTTTATGTAGCTACTGGCTTCCCACTTTTCTTAACATCTACATTGTAAATGATCTGAAGAAAGTATATATAGCAAGTATATATAGCCAAAAAAAAAATAGAAACAAAAAGGCCACATATTTCCAGTAATTCCTTTCCTCACTTTCAATGTGCTCATGTCATTAGATGAGGAATAAAGGACACCTTCATTTGCAAAACCTACAAATACACTAAGGCACAATTTCAAATATCTAGCTTTTATTAATTTAAGAAGTAAAAAAGTTGTAAAGGTATATGGAATCTCAAAGGTCCCACCTACCTCCTGGTCGTTCATGGTCTCCATCAGTGTGTAGAAGCATGGCAATGGGCATCCCTACATTCTTGGACCTTCCAGCCACAACCACATTTTTCCCAAATGTTTCAATTCCTTAAAACACAGAGTTTGACTTAAATAATCAACAAGAAGCAAATACACATTTGAACAGCCAACTGAAACATTCTTTAAAATTTTCTAATTGAATCTGGATTATTGTATGGCTTGTCTATAATGTGTCCACATTCATTATTTATAAATATTTATTTTATACCTCTTGGATTTGTCACTTCCTCTCTGATTATGGCCTCATGAAAAAAATCACAAATATTTTCAAATTGCCATTAAATTGCTTTTTAAATATTAAGGTTTACATGAAGAGTTAGAAGTACTGAGACTTAAATATATTAACTGCTAATTACAAAGTAAAGTACAACAATGTCAAGTTTCATTGAGAACAACTGGAACAAAATAAAGTGGGGGCAGTATTTTCCACAAAGCTCATGCACTTTACTTCACAGGAGAGCAGCACTAAACTTAGGGACTTAAGAGGTATGAAAGATAAAACTTGCAGATTTAACACTATTTACCACTTTGGGGCATAGTTTCTCATAAGTAAAATGAAGAAGTTAGAATTAAGGGTGTTGTTTTTTCTCAAATACTAACATTATCAGAGAATAATTCTAGGATTTGCTTCCCTTTGGAAATTTTCTCTTTCATTTGGAAAACAGTAGATTAGAAAGGAGATGCTGTCATAAATGGAAGTGACGCTGGCGGAGCTCTCACAGGTGTACAGAGATGTTTGCCTCTACACTAATTGACACCATATTGCCTTAGGGGTCAGTTAATGTAGGGCAGTGGTTCTCAACCTGTGGGTCGCGATGCCTTTGGGGGTCGAACGACCCTTTCACAGGGGTCGCCTAAGACCATCGGAAAACACATATATAATTATATATTGTTTTTGTGATTAATCACTATGCTTTATGTTCAATTTGTAACAATGAAAATACATCCTGCATATCAGATATTTACATTATGATTCATAACAGTAGCAAAATTACAGTTATGAAGTAGCAACGAAAATAAGTTTATGGTTGGGGGTCACCACAATATGAGGAACTGTATAAAAGGGTCGCAGCATTAGGAAGGTTGAGAACCACTGATGTAGGGGTCAATTTACAAATGGCATTTAGAGCACAATTCAAGGGTAAATGTTTGTAATAAAAACCTAGGTCATTACAGATGATTCAAATATATTCAGCACATTCTGTTTTTAAAGGTAAGGAAAAATATAATACATTTTATAAAATGTACATGAAAATATATTGTTTTTAGATTAAAAGTAGGGAGGCAAACCTACTATTAAAAAATTCCCTACAAGATGCAAGAGCGGTTACCTGTAAGCCCAGTATATCTTATTTTGGATTATTCCTCGCCTTACAGAACTTTCTATCTTTCTACAGAATCAGTGGGATTGAAGGGGTTCCATCAAGGCAATGCACAAGTTCTCGGTTTGGCTCTTAGCATCCACGTCCTGTAGACCACAAATTACCAACCTGTTCTTTTGATTATTTCCCAAACAGCACTGGCAGTGGCAGGTATGAGAGAATGCTGATCAAGGCACAGTCTTCCAATATTGATAATATGAAATCCATCTACATCTTTTTCAGGGGCAATTCCATTGCATACTGTTCGCTCATCCACATGATCTGAAAAGTAAATAAAATTGGTCTAATTTTACAATTGTTTTTTTATTTAGAGGTATGGAACATGAAATGTGAGGACCTACAACCAGATCACTTATAAATCATTATTCTTTTCTTTTTCTTAACACAAAAATAGTAAGACAAAATGCTCTTGACCAATGGCTGCATTTAACTGCTGTAAGAGAATAGACAAGTACAGGGCCAGAGTGGCTGGCCTGGTGTACGGGAAAAGTCTATAAAATAAAACAATACTAATGAGATCTGGGGACACCCAAATGATAGGCCTTTGCCTCATAAGCTTGCATATTTAAATTTATGTTTTACTATATTTTCACAAATAGGCTTTCATTAAATCTTTCTAGCATTACAGATTAAAAGGGCTTGGTTAGTGTTAAAAATAGTCATCAGTGCCAAGCTTCATCCCAAATGACATAAAAAAGAAAATATTAAACACACACGCACATGCCATTTCCCTGAAGCACTAGCACATTGAAATCCAAAATATCGTGGTTTCCTATATGAAAGAAAAAGAACATAACTTGGGTAATGGATGAACTAATCAAATGAGATATGAGGTCAAATTAATGCTTCGATTCATTGATATATTGCTACCTATTCGCTCATCACAAGTTGAAATACTTTTTCTCCTCTGCTCTCCCACAGAACTGCTATAAAAAGTTCTCAGTACATTAGTTCATTTCGTTGATCACATTAGCTATTTAATTGTATCTCTCACTCATGAGTGTGAGCGTTTTAGGGCACAACCTTGTCATATTAAACTGATCCACCCATTGCCCTTTCCATCTCAGCTGATGACAGTTCCACCTTTTGTACAACTTGCCAAAAAAAAAAAAAAAAAGCTGAACACCTCCCTTTCTTTCATATCCAACATCCAATAAACTGGAAAATCTGTTGGCTCTTCCTTCGTAACATACCGAGCATGTCACTGCTCTCACTGTGTCCATTGATACTGCTTTGGTTTGAGAGGCCATTATCTCTCCTGTGAATTCTAGTAACAGCCTCCTAATTAATTCCGTTTCTATTCTTGCATCCATACAATCTATTCACAAAATAGCAGACGTTATAGTTTTGAAAGTCATGTCAGCTCACACCACTCTTCTCAAAACCCTGACCTTTTTACTGTTGCTCTAACAGGGGTGGGAAACCGTTTTTCTGCCAGCGGCCATTTGAATATTTATAACATCATTCATGGGCCATACAAAATTATTATCTTAAAAATTAGCCTGGCCCTGACTGGGTTGGCTCAGTGGATAGAGCGTCGGCCTGTGGACTGAAAGGTCCCAGGTTCGATTCCGGCCAAGGGCATGTATCTTGGTTGCGGGCACATCCCAAGTAGGAGGTGTGCAAGAGGCAGCTGATTGATGTTTCTCTCTCATTGATGTTTCTAACTCTCTATCCCTCTCTCTTCCTCTCTGTGAAAAATCAATAAAATATATAAAAAAAATTAGCCTGTTATATTTGGTCAAACATTTAATTAACTCATCCTCAATGCCTAGGCAGGGCCAAACCAAATGATTTCGAGGGCCTTATGTGGCCCACGGGTTGGACGTTCCCCACCCCGATCTAACATATCAGGTTTTTCCCACCTTGATTAGCTCTCCTCTGTCTGCCTGAATCCTTTAAAAAAAAATAAAAACTGTCACTTTGGTTAATTTCTCACTTCTTTCAAATCTTTGCTTAAATTCCACATTCCTTATAAGAGCTATTCTGACCACATTATTTAAAAACATAGGTTCCATATTTGATAATGCTGAAGTCATTTACACTGGACCAAACTTCTCACAAAGAAATAATTGTAAACATTAGAAAAATTATATTAAAAAGCAACTATCTGAAAACACTGGAGAGTCGCTAGAAGTAGACAGATTTGGAAGAGAGTGGACATCTGAAAGAAAAGAAATGTACTGAAAGAGTTTTCCATTTTGGAGGCTTTCCCAGATCAGCTGGAATTTGGATAGAAATGTGCAGTCTTGCTTGCATAAGGAATCCAAGGACACAGTTTGGGGCTGCTATGTCAGTTGGAAATTGAAGGGATATCACCCAGGAAAGAAGAGAGCGACAGAGGGGAGATTCAAATTGTCTAAAAATTCTGCCCGAATCTCTGACTGACCCCTGGACAACACGCCTGGGAGGCAAACTGCAAGAAGCCCACCTAAGAATAAGAGAACTAAACAGACCGCAGTTATGGCCCACCAAAAGAAAAGAAAAGCTTGAAGTCCCCAATATGATAGACATTTACAAAAAGTTTACAGCTAACATTATATTTAATAAAATACTGAATATTTTCCCCAAGATTGGAAGTAAGTAAGGGTACCCACTCCCACCATTTCTATTCAATGTTTTATTGGAGATCCTAGGTGGTGATTAGAAAAGGAGGCGGGGGAAGGCCTAAAGATCAGAAATGAAGAAGTAAAACCCTAGTCACAGATGGCATGGTTGTTTATGCACAATCTCCTAAATATCCTATATAATGAAAGGCTAATATGCAAATCTACTGAACGGTGGAATGACTGGACGCTATGACACACACTGACCACCAGGGGGCAGATGCTCAAAGTAGGAGCTGCCCTCTGGTGGTCAGTGCGCTCCCACAGGGGAAGTGCCGCTCAGCCAGAAGCCAGGCTCACGGCTGGTGAGCACAGCGGTGGTGGAGGGAGACTCTCCTGCCTCTGCGGCAGCACTAAGGATGTCTGACTGCCGGCTTAGGCCCTCTCCCCATGGAGAGCAGGCCTAAGCCATCAGTCAACTATCCCCTGAGGGCTCCTAGTTTGCAAAAGGGCGCAGGCTGGGCTGAGGGATCCCCCAAGTGCACAAATTTTGTGCACCGGGCCTCTAGTTTACAAATAAAAAATAAAAGAACTAATAAAATGAATTTAACAAGATCACAGAATACAAAGTCAACATACAAATAAATTAATTGCATTTTTTATACAAACAGCAACTACTAGAAAATTAAGTTTGAAAAATTCTATTTATAATAGTGTTCAAATCATAAAACACGTAGAAGTAAATTTTAAAGTATGGAAGATAACTTCTATAATGAAAACTACAAAACATCACAGGATGTCAATTCTTCCAAATTGATCTTTAGATTCAATGTAATCTCTATCATAATCCTATGAGGGTTTTTTGGTAGAAGCTGACAAACTGATTCTAAAATTTATATGGCTATGCAAAGAACTAAAAATATCCAAAGCAATCTCAAAAATGAAGAAAGTCTCTAATTGAAAGTATCTAGTTACATGAGAGTTTGTATTTTTCAAAATTTACAGGTGAGTACACTTAAGATTTATTCATTTTAGTGCATGTAAATTTCACATGAAAATGTAAATACTGTAAATAATAATATGCACACTAATGTTTAGGGGTACATTAAGTGTTCTTACCTTTAAATGCTTCAAAAATAAGATGGACTGATAGATGGATAAATGGATAAATGTGATGTGTTAATCATTAGAATCTAGGTTGGGGGCATGTGGTGTTCACTGTACCATTCTTTTAACTTTTCTGAATGTTTGAAATTTGTCATAATAAAATATTGAGGGGAAAACAAAAATACAACCTGTTCCCCAATATCTCGATCTTCTTTATCATGATCCATTTCTTTTTTTCCCCACAGCATATTAACTTCTAATAAATATAATTACTTACTGTGTTTATTTTCTATTGGCTGTCTCTCCTGCTACTTCACAAGGGAAGACATTTTCAACTTTTTTGTCACTGGTGTATTCCTACCACAAAGAATAATATCTAGCCCGGCTGGGGTAGCCCAGTGGTTGAGTGTTGACCTATGAACCAAGAGGTCACTGGTTCGATTCTGATAGGGCACATTCCTGGGTTGCAGCCTAGATCCCCAGGAGGGAGTGTGGAGGAGGCAGCCTATCGATGATGTTTCTATCTCTCTACCCCTCTCCCTTCCTCTCTCTCTAAAAATCAATAAAAAGGTATTTTTTAAAAAAGAATAGTACCTAAACATTTATTGAATAAATGACTACTATTACCCCTGATTCATAAATGAAGAAACTCAGACAAAATTAGTGGATAATAAGTGGAAAACTGAGGACAATTAGAGCAGACTGCCATAAGGAAAAAAATGTCTGACTCTTCTCTAATCTCTGACTTTTACCTTTAAAAATATAATAAAGATGGCTTTCATTAAAATTTGTCAATATTTGCATTTCTATTATTAGATACCTGGCACTTCTACATTCTCAGATACAAATTTAAAAACAAATATTTGTAAAAGATTCATGTTTATTTTTCATTTATTACCTCCTTTCAGGACTTGAAAAATTAGAAATTTCAAACACAGCTTCATTCTAATAAACATGAATAAAAGGCCCTTGAAAAATGCACTCATTTATTCACTCAATATTGAGTGTCTACCATGTGCCTAGTACAGTTCTAAGAGTTTAGGATATATAAGTGAATCAGACAGACAAAAATTCTTACCCTCTGTAACTTACATTCTAATGAAATAAATGTCTGCTTAATCAAAGTATTTAGTTATAGCCTCTTAATGAGTTAATTATTTTCTAGGAGTAAATTAGAGATATTTTATAAGCTGTGTACACTTTTCAAGTCAATAAATAATATTTAAGCCCTAACCAGTCTGGCTCAGTGGATAGAGCATCGGCCAGCGGATTTACGGTCCCGGGTTCGATTCCAGTCAAGGGCATGTACCTTGTTTGCAGGCTCAATCCCCAGTAGGGGTTTAGGGGTTGTGCAGGAAGCAGCTAGTCAATGTTTCTCTCTCATTGATGTTTATAGCTTTCTATCCCTCTCCCTTCCTCTCTATAAAAATCAATAAAATATATTTAAAAATAATAATAATAAATAATATTTAAGTTACACCCTATAGGTTCTACATCAAGGTTTCAAGACAGGAAATATTTACCAGGTGCTTACCACTTGCACAATATAATTTAAGAGTTGTTTCATCATCAAGGAGTGAGGGGATGAAAAAAGAATGTGGAGTGACT